GCACATTGCGCGACCGAATGGCACGTACAAATGTCAGGGGGCTGTATGGCTTTGACTATTGATTACAGGGTGGATTTTTGTCACTTTTTTTATCCCGGGGGGGGTTTTTGGTCTTTAGGACTAACACAGGGGGGGTTTTTGCATTTAACTCTTATTTCTCTATATACATTACATGTAAATCAACCCATAATATAATGGGGGTTTTCTATTATTACGTCTTATTTCTCTCCTTCTCCAATTCTATTCTTCCTATACAAGGTAAGGGTGAAGCTATTGCAAATAGAGATTTTAAAACCGCAAACTGTGAACAATTCTTAGCTATGGTAGGGCAGAGACGAACCAATTGCAAACATAGATTCAAAACAGTAAACTTGCGAACATATATATATTTTTTTAAATTTAACTTAGAAATAGTTATTTAAAAAAAATAGTGGAAAGAATACTTCAAAGACTTCAAAAAAATTATTTTTTTTAAATACTTAAAAAAATATTTTCTTACGTTTAAAAAAATTTTAGAAATTAGTTTTAGTTTTAAAAATTAAAAAATGAATTTTACATAACATTAAAAATTAAAAAAGAATTAGTTTTAGTATTAAAAGTTACAAATTTCATTTTTTTTCTTTAAAAAAAAACCAGTTCTCGGTTCCGAAAATGAGGAACCGGAATCGAATCGATTTTGTCGGTCCCAGTTCCGATTCTAGTTCCATTTCGGTTAAAAAACCGTTAACCCCGGTTCGATTCTGGTTCCGGTTCTAACCGAACTGGTGGTCATGTTTAGATGGGGTTTCCGGCCGTCCTTGATACCAGATGGGTCCCACAAGGCTTACTTGAACAATCTTGGCATTAATGAGAAGGCCATAGCTCAGGTGGATGATTGTGATAGTTGAAAAATTCAAGTCAGACATCCAATTCTTTTCAGCAATTAAGAACATAAAAGCTTTGCTGGCATTTTTTCAATCACCTCCTCAAAGCTATACCAATCTAATGGCAGAAATAAGTCTTCGGTTCTTCGCATAACTAAGTCTACATCGACAACCAAAAAAGAATACGATTATTTTCCTATCGAAGAACAAAAATAGGTTGCAGAAAACCCATTAAGGCATCTCCAATAGAGTCCCTAAAACTCATGAGTCTCCATATTTTAGTGACTTTGGTAAAAGACTCAACACTATTGAAGGTCATAAAGAGTCTCTAAAACTATTCTAAAGTTTCTAAATATTTTTCTATATTTGGGATTGCATATAGAGATTTTAACTTAAAGTTGTCCCACGGTAAATTAATAAAAAAATTTAAGAAAATTAAATTTTTATTTTTGTGGTTGAAATATTTATTTTTGTTACTTGAAATATTTATTTTTGTTGTTGAAAATACGAAAACAAAAAAATTAATTTTTCCCCTATGTGAGATATATATTATAAATTAAGATAATGTAAATAAAAACTAACTATCGAAAATTTAATGTACAAAACTAATCTATAATCTAGTTATAATAAGAAATACACTATAAATGAATACATAAAATTGATTGTTTAGAACTCCTCATTGGAGATGAGCTTTTTTTTAAGAGACCCGAGTCTTTAACTGGATCTCTAAAATCAAATTTAGAAACCCGTTTTACATACTCCATTGGAGATGCCCTTAGTAAAATGCCGAACCAAAACTAAGAAAAGAAATGAAGATAGCCACAAGAGAGTTTGGATTATTAGTTGTTCTATGAAAGTGTAGTAATTTTCAGGCAAGAAATGATAAGAGAGAAAAATAGCAGGCAAAAGTAAAACAAAATTTGCTTAACCAAAAAGGGGTAATGGCAAATAGGCCCATGACAAGGATACTTAATTAAAAGAGGGGCATCCAACTTTTTTGTCTTTCAAATAAATCCAGCCCATTCAAACTTATTTGCAGATAAGGAAAATCCTTCTATATATACCAAAATTATTCCCAATTCATTGAAACACAATTCAACTCCAATTTCATGATTTACACCCCAATTTAGCCCAATTTCATCAATTAACCAATTTTAACCCTAATTTCAATTTTGACCCCAATTTTAACCCTAATTCTTATCAATTCCACCCATTATGCTCTAACTTCCTTAATACTACATATTGACCCCGAATTTAAACAAATATATCACATTAACCCCCAAAACTTTTTTTTTTCAGAAAATAATTTTTTTTTCTGAAATGTTTTTTTCTGGCCGGTTTTTTTTTTTTTATAATTTTGTTTTTTCTTAAAAAAAAAATTTAATTAATATTATTGTCTTGGCTGCTAAATTACTGTCTCTGGCAGTTATTTAACTGTCGGAAACAGTAATTTAACTGTTAATTGACTTTTTTTTTTCTTCAAAAATATTTTAATTAATATTACTGTATTCGTTGCTAAATTGCTGTCTCCAGCAGTTATTTAACTGTTGGAGACAGTGATTTAACTGTTAATTGACTGTTTTATTCTTAAAAAAAATATTTTTAATTAATATTACTGTATTCGTTTGCTCTGTCTCCAGCAGTTATTTAACTGTTGGAGACAGTGATTTAACTGTTAATTGACTTTTTTATTCTTAAAAAAAATATTTTTAATTAATATTACTGTATTCGTTTGCTAAATTACTGTCTCCAGCAGTTATTTAACTGTCGGAGACAGTAATTTAACTGTTAATTTACTCTCTTTTTTTTCATTTTTTTTCTTAAAAAAAAATATTTTAATTAATATTACTTCCTTGGATGCTAAATTACTGTCTCCAACAGTAATTTAACTGTCTTAGACAATAATATTAATAATATTACTGTTCAGAAGAATAATATTCATAATATTACTGTCCCAAACAGTAATATTACTGTCTGAGACAGTAATTTAGTAGCCAAAACAGCAATATTAATTAAAATATTTTATTTCTAAGAAAAAAATTCAAAAAAAGAAAAAAAAAGTCAACGCCGTAGACCGGTGGTCAACGGTGGTTGACCGGCCAGAAAAAAATTTCAGGAAAAAAAAAGTTTTCGAAAAAAAAAAAAGTCAACGCCGGAATCTGGCCAGAAAAAAAATATTTTAGAAAAAAAATTATTTTGTGAAATTTTTTTTTTTGGGGGTAATGTGATATATTTGTTTAAATACGGGGTCAATGTGTAATATTAAGAAAGTTAGAGCATAATGGGTGGAATTGATAAAAATTATATTATTGAGGGTATTTTAGACTAAAGACATGGGGATGAGTTTAATTGAGAGACTGTTTTTTTTGTGGACCAAAATGCATTTAAGTCCCATGTGATGGGCCTTTTTGCCATTCACCCAAAAAATTAAAGCCAACAAACCTTTTTATTTATTTTTTTTAATTTTTTTTAATGTGACGTGAATGTGGTTTATTTGCAGGAAAAAAAAATAAACATTTTATTTCATATTTTGGACAAGAGTTTCAGAGCGAAGGATTAAGACAAAATTATGAGTTGGATATTCATACACATAATCATTGTAGTCGTTATAAAGACTCTCCCCTTTTCTAATACACGATTCTCAACTAAAAGTATGTCAAACATTTATGTCACATTTAATATTGTCTTTTTTTTTTTCTGCCTTCCCTAAAATAGATGAAATGATGCCATTAGCAAGAAAATATCACACGCATTAATTTTCTTCTAATATAATGAAAGGAGTAACAATTTTATAGATAAACATCAAGAATATATGTACTTCAAATTTAAGTACCGACACGTAATTGATATAAATAAATAAGACTAAATAAATGAGCAGTGTATCTAGTGTCCGGTTTAGATGCATAACTAGAACAAAACAATATATTGTACTGTTAAGGATCACTACTAAAAAAATAGGCTTTAGTGACGGCTTAATGACGCTTTAATGTGACGCTCAGTATAACTAGTCTCAATAACCATCTTATTGTGACGCCTAAAATTAGACGGGCTTTGTTTGGTTTTTGCTTATATTTTTTTCTTTTTTTTTAATTCTATAAAAATCCATTATATGACGTTTCTAAATAACGCGTCATAATATAATTCTAAAAAATATATTACCCACTAAAATAATTTATAAAAGAATCACTTTACCTATTTACAGGGGCATAATTATGCAGCTTTCTTCTAGTTATCTTCCAGCCCCCCTCTCTCGCATCTAATTTCCAGCAGATCAAATACCTGGGCGATTTTTGGTAGAGTGGCGATTTTTGGTAGAGTGGAATCACGCAAAAAAAAAAATTCTCGAAGAACATAACTTTTATGTTTGTAAACTGCCGTCGAGGTAAAACTTAATCGCTATTATTAGTTTTTTTCTAGGGTTTTTTAATTATTGTTGCTTGTATTTTTGGGATTAATCTGCGGAATGGGTATTGGGTTTTTGAAATATTTTCAGATAAAAGTAAGAAACTTCATTGATTTTGTTGTATTAGTTTATTGAATACATCAATCTGTTCAGATTAATTTGCACAACTCAATTATATCGATTTTGAATTATTTTTAGATGGAATTAAAATGAGTCAGTCATGTTCTTATGTTTTAGATGGAATTATTTTTTTGTATATTAATATTTCTATTTCAGGTTATTGAATACATAAATATGTTCTATTCCTTGAATTAATTGAGGATATATTTCATCAATTGTGATATAAATTTATAGAGTTCAAAATCTTATTTCTCATTTGATCGGTATTTAAAATTCAATGTTATATATGTTTGAATTTGTAGAATTATAGAATTGATTTTCTTATGTTATATTCTCAACGAGTTGATTTGTGTTTGGGCATTTCTGGGATGTTGTTGTAGCTATTGTGGCCAAATGAAAATGTCAATATTGAAACAAAATTGGTTGATCTTTTTATTTCCATGGACTAAAAGAACAATAAAAACTTGGTCATCTTGTATGCCTTACAAATAATGATGGGAGTCTCTTTGATGATCAATTATTGGAAAATACTTAGCAGTGTTTGCTTAATCGTGCTAATTTATAATAGTTTGGTTGGAATCTTATATGCTACATATCAAGTTACACTCGAAGACACTTAATCTACTAATGCACGTATTTGAGAATTATGCTTGCATTTCTTACACAGTTAGTATTATTTCTTAGTTCAGAATAAGGTAATACACGCAATCTTTTGTCTGATCTTTTAGAATACCTTGAACCGTTTAAAGTGTTTTACTTAATATAACTAAAAATTGCACATAATATAACCTAACTTATTTTTTGGTTCCAAAGAGTTTTCTAATTGCAATAAATAGCAATTTTCCATTTCTTAAAAAGGTCAGTAAGTGTTTCCAACAACTTCAACGAGGTTATACCTATGGGATAAATTGTTGCAGAGTGCTCTATAATCTAAGGTAAAGTTACTAATTTTGGTACACTATGCAATAATTTGATCTTCTCTTTCTATAAATTTATCATATCAAAGTATTACTTTGTAGATTAACTGCTTATTATTTCCTTTACTTCAGGTTGGCTTATGAGAAGATTACTACTTTGTTATATTCAATATTTATATATGGAGTGGTGTGTAGCAAGATAAAGTGTTAACTTGTTTAGTTTTTTTCCATATAATGTTAGTATGTTTCGTATATAATTACCGATCAAGTTTTTTTCTTTTTTGCATATTTAGATGATAAGTGCTAAAAATCAAAGGAATTTCGCTCAAGGTATGTAATTGTTTTCCTTTTGTAAGTTTAGATCCACTAAAATACCTTTATTTACTCCATTATTTAGGTAATTGATATAATTTACATATATTAGTTATAAATTGAATTGCATCAGGCAAACTAACTAAAAACATGCAGTTACAGCCTATTGCGAGATGTATTTCCAGAAATTTTTCATAAACTCTTGCTATCGTTCTGATGGTTTGTCCAGTGAGCATAAGTATACTATTGTTACCAAATAAAAGTTTATATTGGTTTGTATTGATTACTTTCATTTACTTGCAAATTGTTGTTGTGAATTTCTGTAGGTTCGTATCTATGAATAACAGGTCAACAAGGAATGACATTTTCACGGGTGTAAAGGTACCATGGAGTAGATACCTGAGCATTTCAGCAAAAAGACCATAATATCTTCATGTACTTCATTTTGAGCTACCAGGATGTCAAAATTTATGCCAGTAGATATACCCTCATGGATTGAGTATTGTTAAACACATTTTTCTCTCCCTTTTGTTTAAATATGCAGACTTTATACATAATTGGTATCTTTGAATTTTGTTGGTGAATAATAGTTTGACAGATTTAAGTATACCAATTTCATAAATTTGTTTTTATTATCATACAATGTTAAGTTGATTGTGTTTGTAATTTTGTATACCATATTATGGGTTTGCGTTATATTTCTTTAGATATGCTCGTTGTGTATGTTTAGCATGGAAGTAATAGCCTGAAAAAATGAGCAGGGTATTTTTTTCATCAAGATTGTTGTGACACTAAAATGCGTCATATAATAATGCTTTTGTGACAGCATAGTTCATTAAAACAATACATTTTATGACGCTTTACTGTGTCATATATTATAGCAATTATAGTTGTTGAAAATCATTATGTGACAATAAACCTCGTCACAAGAAAAGGATTTAAAGACGCTCTAGAGCGTCATAATACCGTGGTTATTAGGACGCCGTCCAAAGGCGTCATAATAACATATTACCACGGCCACCTATGTGACGCTTTGGGCAGCCGTCACTATAGCCAAAGCGTCACAAAAACCGGCTTTTGGTGATACTTAGCGGCGTCACTACAAATAGTTTTTCTAGTAGTGGATCATAACTAAAACAAAAAAATGACTCTAGAAGATGTTACAATACATCGTGAACCACAAGATATCTTTCTATCAATTATAGACACATAAACACATGCCATCGTCTATCTCTGACAATAGACCGTAGATATAACAACTATATGTACATTCACTACCTGGAGCACATATAGTATATATTATTCAGGTTGCGGTGCTGGTGTCTTCGTTTTATATGCGCAAAATATGCACTAATACCACACTTATGGTGAGATAACAGATCTCTATATAAATATAATATTTTCTTGAGAAATGATTAGGAGTTGTTGCTTCACGAAACTTTGTATGATGTGCTAACTCGCCACCGATTGTATTTGTACATATAAAGAAACTGGTCGATGGAATTTTCGATACAACTTACACTACGATAAATATAGCTATAATCCGGCTCTATTTGTCAAAGGATGTTTAAATGTTAAGAAGTATGTCAATAAAGTTCTTAGCACATTGCAATCCCACCAAATTCCTAACACAACGGAATCAACTAATTTGTACATTTGTGCATCTCCAAACTTGTAAAGCTTGTTGAACTATACATCGAGAAGTATGGAAAATCATGAGACTGCTGAATGTTTAATCTTTGTACCAGTATCCTCCATCTCTCTAAAATGGAGGTTTTGAATCCATCTTCATGGGCCCTTATAATTTTATCCAAAAAGAATAAAAAAAAAAACAATCTAATATCGGCTCTAAAACAATGGCTGTAGAAACTACAAGCTTTGTGTTTAAGAAATTTCATACTTTGTTGATAAAAAGTTTAATCATAAAAATCTCTACTATCTGATGTGAATGCCTGGGGAGAATTTTAGGGGGAAAAACAAAAGAAAATATAAAAGGTTGTGCAAAATATGCACAATCTAGAGTAATATTCTACACACATCGCTTAGACAATACAATTTACGCCAACAACTTTGTCTATTTTTTTATGTGATTTGACGACAGTTAATTTGAAGGGAAAAATATTCATACTCATAACCGTTGTAGTCGTAATATAGACTCTCTCCTTTTGTTATATCACGATTCTCAACTAAAAGCACCACACATTTTCGTCAACGCTGTATGTCACATATTTAATGTTTTGTCTCTTTGTTTTGCATTCCATAGGAAAGATAAAATGATGCCATTAACAAGAACCACATTATATTATTTTTCTTCTAATAAAATGAAAAGAGAAACCATTTTATAGATAAACATAAGAAATATTTGTACTTTGAAATTAAGTACCTACACGTAATTGATATAAAGAACTAAAAGTAAATGTACGAGCTATACATCTAGTGTGCGGTTCAGGCACATAACTAGAACAAAAATAAAGTGTACCTAGTGTACAGTTTAGGGGTATAATCAAGAACAAAATATTCCATATATGTGAAAATTTATGTTAAAATACAAGTTCCATATATGTGATTGTTTTGTGCAAAACATGCACAATTTAGAGTAATTTTCTACAGACACCACTTATACTTTACAACTGAAGCAAACAACTTGGTATCTACCTGTACTTCTATGCGATAGGTAAGTTGGTTTAAACAAAATATAAATCTACTACTTTATTCGGAGAAGAGCTTCTAAGAAAAAGACTTGACAAAATTATGAGTTGGATATCCATATTCATAGCCATTGTAGTCGTAATATAGCCTCTCCCTCTTTGCGATATCGCAATTCGCAACTAGAAGCACCACACACTTTTCGTCTACACTGTGTCTCACGCATTTAATATATTTTTTTTCTGTCGTCCGTCGACAATAGATCAATTGATAACATTAACAAGATAAGATATGTTACACATCATATTGATTTTCATCTTAGAAAATAAAAAAGTGCAACAACGTTTTAGATAAAAATTAACAAAATACTTCAAATTTAAGACCTACACCGAATTGGTTAAATAAATAATATATATTGAATGAGTAGTGCATCTAGTGTATTATTTAGGCACATAAGTAGAAGAAAACGAGAATGTACGTATTGTACTGTTAATGAGCATAACTAGAACAAAACGACTCTAGAACATGTTAGAATACATCAGGCACCACAATATGTCTTTCTATCAATCGTACACACATAAACACATAACAACGTCTATGCCGTACAATAGAAGGTAGATATAACAATGATATGTACATTTACTACCTATAGCACATATAGTATGTCTTATTCAGGTTGCGGATTCTTCATTTTATATGCACCAAATATGAACTAATACCACACTTATGGTAAGATAACATATCTCTATATAATTTTTTTTTTTTTTATAAATGATTGGGAGCCGTCGCCCCATGAACCTACGTATGTTGTGCAACCTCCCCCACTGATTGTATTTGTACATATAAAGAAACTAGTAGAATATGATTAATTGGCTTAGAAGCATAGGGAGTGTGATAATTAATGCCGTTATAAATCAAGAGATGTGCCCAATCTTATCCTCTCAAACATCGAGGTTTTTAGACGGGTCGACTGAAGAAAGGAGGTTCATCATGCTGACACAATCATCTTCTTCTCGGTTCTTGATGTATTCCACCTCTCTCACGTATTCCACAATCAATGTCACGTTGTTTATTGAACCCAAATTTGAACAGTGAGTCTGAGAAGTTTGTACTACGTAAAGATGATATGTCGAGTGTCCCTTTACAAGCTGGTAGAGGGAGTTTTCGATACCACTTAGACTACGATAAATATAGCTATAACCCCGCTCTATTTGTGAAATGATGTTTAAATGTTAAGATGTATGTCGATAAAGTTGCAATCTCACCAAATTCCTAACACAATGGAATCAACTAATTTGTACATTTCTATATTTCATTCCAAACTTGTAAAGCTAGTTGAGGTATATATCGAGAAGTATGGAAAATCATGAGACTGCTGAATGTTTAATCTTTGTACCAGTATCATCCATCTCTTCAAAAGGAAAGTTTCGAATCCTTCTTTGTGGGCCCTTATAACTTTATTCCAAAAACAAAATCATAAAAAATAAAACCCTAATGTCGGCTCTAAAACTTTGGCTGCAGAAATTACAAGATTTTTGTTTCAAATTTCATACTTTGTTGGTAAAAGTTTAACCCTTTCAAGATCTCTACTATCTGATGTGAATCCCTACAAAGAATTTCTTGGGTTGTGCAAAACATGCGCAGTCTAGAGTAATTTTCTTCTGATAACAGTTGTAGTCGTAATATAGCCTCTCCCATTTTCCCATATCACGATTCTCAACAAAAAGCATCGCGCATTCTTCGTCTACGCAGTATGTTACACACTTTATATTTTGTCTTTTTTTTTTTTGCCTTCTCTATGAAAAATCTAATGATGCCATTAACAAGACAATATCACACGTTGTATTAATTTTCTTGTAATAAAATGGAGAGAGTAACCATTTTATAGATAAACATAAAAAAATAAACGTACTTCAAATTTAAGTACTTGCACGTACGTAATTGATACAAGTAACTAAAATTAAATAAATGAGCAGTGCATCTAGTGCGTGATTTAGGCGACTAACTAGTAAGA